ACCCTCCGCGCTCCCGCACACTCTCCCGCGCACCCTCCGCGCTCCCGCACACCCTCCAGCCCCGGCCCGCACACTCTGCGCTACCCGAGTTCCGCCCAAACCGTCCCCTGGGTGTCGGGGCTCCTCGACCTGCACACGCTAGTGCACACGCGCGCGCTTGCCCACCGCCACACACGCATGCTCATACCTTCACGCATGGACTCACACACCGGTACACGCGTCCCTCACACATGCTCAAACACATTCCCACACTAGTTTGCACATACCTGCTTTTGCACGTAAACTTACTCTAATGCACGCATCCTCAAATCCTAGGAGAAACTCGCATGCACTAGTTGCTACTCACATGTACAGTGACATGCCTCCTTGCTGTCCGTCACACTCCCGACTCCAGTGCACAGTTTTTGACATGCTAGCACATGCTTTCACACACGCTCTTACACACTGTAGCTAGTACATGTATACCCGTTTACGTGCACACACTTGACACATGCACCCACATGCTTTCCCCAAACGCTTCACATGCACCTTAACCTTAGTACACAGGTACCTTTCCACACGCTCACACGCATGGCCTCTCATGCTGTGACTCGTTCCCTCGCACCCTAGTACACACACGCTTTTAAACCCGAGTACACACTTCCACGCGAGCTCTCACACACTAGTGAGTGCGCACACATGCACTTTCACACGTCTCACACGTCTTACTAGCTCTCAGTAATACAGAGGTCAGGCTGCCTTCCCAGATAGCGCAGAGCTCCCCCCACCCCACCCCCCAGGCAAATTAATATCTTCCAGAGCAGGAAAGGTACTAGGGATTTTTAAGGTCAAGTATTCCTTTAAACTCCAGTTAAAACATGGTTGGGGGGGGCGGGCAGCAGCTCCCAGGCCAGCCCTGGAAGGCCGTCTTCGCAGATGCCCGGGGGAGCCAAGGAGAGACAGCTGACCGAGGAGCCACTCTGTTCTTTGTCTCCCAAACAGAGGCGGCATTTTACTCCCCGTCAGCAGCAAGATCCCCCTCCAGGGCGCGGAAGGAGGAG